TTAAAAAAATGTAATTCTTTGTTTGATTTTTATCACATTCTCAGGAAGTTTCTCCACCAGCAGCTACGAGGGAAGAACTGTGAACTCCTGCTAGTCGTCTCAGAGGAAGTGGAGGCGCACCAGACATGGCGATCTGATGGCTAAGGGTTTAACCAGCCTACCACAGCTCTAACTGGGCCAGCAGTCCAATCGCAGAATAAACGGAAGAGGAACTAGCATTGTTGTGCTCAGCCAAACCCCTTTGATGCACACTTGCAGATATATATCTACTACACACACACACACCTTTTTTGGAGGTTTTGTTTACACAGCCATTGCTGGACAATTATCTGGCGAGATACAATGCAATGAAGGAAGCAAACACTTTACATACAGGGAGAATCAAAGAATCACAGCTCTTTCTCACGACACAGCTAAGACTTCTGAAGTGTTATCCTGTTTCTGCTATTCTTGTGGATTTTTTTTATATTGATGCATATTTTCAATGTCAGTTTTGATCTTTTGATTTTGTTTTTTTCCCTTTTTACTTTTCTAGTTTCCAAAGTCATTCGAGTTCAGGCTTTATGAAAACTGCTATGTTCATGTGCCTGTCTCCTTCAGTGATCCTCCCCGCTTCTGTCATGACGTTCACTGATGTGTCTTTGTGTTTGTGTCCTTCCCTTCGTGTTGTAAAGCTCTCTTTCTCTTTGTCCGTATCACTTTCACCAAAGCGTGCCCTTCGTTGCCTCAGCGTGACTCCATCTCTGTCTTTTTCACGTCACTGGTAAGAATCGGTGAGTGATCACGTTGCCAACTTTGTATACTTCAACACCTCCCAAACATTTCTGGCACAGACAGAGCCTTTGCTGCGGAGGCTCTGCCAACACAACACTTTTATATGGCAACAAAGCAATGCAACAGCACCCTGGCCAAGTAGACCCTCTAGTGGATGTTCGCCTAATTTTCAGTCAAGCAAGACATACCATCATCACCTATCCAGTTTTTCTGAAGTCTCAAACTTCTTATAGCATGCCTTGATTAAGAAGCCAATGCCCCATGACTGTTTTTTCCTTTTAAATCAATCATTAATCATAATGGGTCCAGCTTTAATTTAGCTTAAACACTGGTCAGCACAAGAGTCATCAACCTTCAGTTTGTCCATTTTCCCTAAAAAAAAAAACCAAATAACATTTATATAAGCTCCCAAAGTTAGAGTATCACTGCAACAGAGTTAAGTTTGCATATCTGAAAAGGTGGTGTTTACCTTTAGCAGGATTCTTTTACATATAATAATCAATTTAGTGTGACATTTCAAATGTAAGTCTAAAGGATAGATAAAAGTGTACCAGCAAAGCCTGTTCCATATTACAAAATGAAAAAACTTCACCATATTTTGTAGAGGCCGATTTGTTCCTGATGGGTTGCTTTTTTATGTATATGTATTCTACATATACATATACAGCATATAAATACATGTGTCAAATTAGAGGAGGAATTGCTTTTGTTGTTAATTCAGATCTGCTGAGGTGCAATATGGCATTGTATTAAAGGCAAAAGAATGGGAGTGTGTAAAACTCTGTAATGTCGCCGTAATTGCCCGACACATCCCTTTCTCCATTATTTTCCTTAAAGAAACAGTAATATTTAAAAAACAAAGGTTACTGCACATATCAGATGGCATTTATATACTGATACTGAGATATCTGTAATAGGTGAGTGTCGTCTAAAAATATCAGTTAAGTCAGATACCAGTTGGGCTCTGTTCGCCAGCTAACGAGAGATCATGCATATGAGGAAATAATTTTGTTTCCCTCCATCACCGACTTCTACTCAGAGCCACCAACATTTGTTATACGTCTTCAAAGTGATCTTTCACGCAGATGACACAACAGTTATCAACCCACTGTAGCCCCCACCCTACCTCTTACTTTGGCTTGCGAGTGTCCCCACCACAGCAGTCCTCAGTAGCACTGGAGCTCAGCCTATGCAGAGATTCTCCTTCTCTGTATCCTCTCATAAATATCCTGCCAAAATACAGCTCTGAGAGAATGTCAACGATTGTCCCACCAAGTCTTACGCAGCTGCTTCTGTTGCGTGAAGTTTCAATCTGTGGAAGATTTTGTTGGTGGCTTAGGGGAAATGAAACTTAAAAAAAAGCTTGAAGATCTTTAGGAGGTGTCAGGTAAAGAAAGTGTAAGTCGGAAAGTGTCCCAAATTTCCAGCCTTTACGCGTGCTGTGGGAAAGTGTAGTGAAATGAGCCTAATGAGAGATTCTGCTGTTGTAGCTTTTCGTATTTATCAACTGTTAAAACTGTTTGCTACTATAAATGTATTGTCTGTTGACGACAATATTGGCCTTAACTTGTTTACATTGAAAGAAACATATAGATATACGTTGCTCTGAAATATTGACGGGGGGGCTGTGCAGTTTGGCGCCACTTCAGGAGGTTAATTCCAAAGCACCGACGAGAAATCCAGTAAGCAAAGAAACTAATCTGTAATGATATTTTCAGTTTTGCCGCCAAGGACTTTATGTTCTATTCAAACGTTTGAAATGACTTTTATAGGAAAAAAGATTACTTTATTTTAATGGTGCATGTCTTATTTTAGAGTGACTCCAGCGCAGGCTGTTGGCCATCACCACCTCGTTATATCCAAGCCGAGCAATCGTCAGTAATTTGTGGAGAGTTTTCAGCCCAATCACGTCGTGACTAGTGTGGCACATTTGCACTCAGCATTTGCCTTTTTCTTCTTTTTTTTTGCCATGACAATCCATTTAGCCCTTCCTATTAAAGGACCCTGATTGTCACTGTAATTTTCTTTTCAATAGAAATAAAATGCTTATATTGGCACTTTATGTATAAGCTGGTGTGTGGGTGTATTAAATGGGTGTCTATTTGCTTTCAAAGGGTCATTGTTGGGTTACATGTAGATTATAATGTTGCTATTCTGAGCCTCAGTGAGTGTGTGGAAAGTATGTCTCACTTTTACAATGACATGTTGCCCTTTAGAACATTTGTTCATTTCACAGGGAAATTGTGGTGCGTCAGAGAATGTAAGCCTTCATACCTTATATATTCGTCATACTTCAAGTGAAATATTTCAAATCTTTTTTCCCCCCCAACTTGATGATCTTCATGTAAGCTCATGAAAATCAGAAATCCAGTTTTTCCGACTATTTTTCTCTTGAAAAGTTTGTTCACTTCTACTCAGTTTTTTGTTTGGACTCCTTTACCAAGAACTGCTGCATTAGTGCATCGTGGCTCTGCTGAGGTGTTATTGAAGCCCAGGTGGCTTTGACCCTGTAGATGAATTCTCTACAGGGTTCAGGTCAGGAGCTGGTTGGCCAATGAAACACAATAAGGTGTTCAACATTCGGTAGCAGTTCTGGCACTGGAGGTAGATGCTAAGTCCTACTGGAAAAGGAGATCTGTGTTTCCATAAAGCATGTCAGCAGATGGAACCATGAAGACGATTGTGTTGACTTTGGACTTCATAACACACAGTGGGCCAGCCACCAACAACATCAGCATCATCACAGACCGTGGAAACTTCCCACTGGATTCTGTGCCTCTCCCACTCTTCCTCCAAACAACGATAAGGCCCAGGGAGCAGGATCAGCCCAGCAAAGACTTTGGAAAACATTAAGTGGAGGATAGTTTTTGAACTTTTAGTTTGAAAGCTTTTCCTATTGGTAAAGACCTCACCACCGCCCAAAATAAATACCATTAATACTACACCAAATTATTAAATTAAATCATGTAAGTTTTTTTTAATTTTTCATTTATTTATTTATTTTTCTGTGAGTCCACAGTAAAATAATTCACAGAAGAAACATTTCTGTGAATTAATGATTAAAAAACAAACAAACAGGACAGCCTGGGCAATAAACTACCCAAACTCTTTCTGTAATTTTACACATTTATCCTGTAATGTCACTGCGCCATCGCACCTAAGATCAAAGTGAGTTGTATGTGACTCGTGTGCTCTACCGCCTTAATTTCAAAATGAAGTGCAAAAAATTAGTGTGTGACTGTTCCCCGCTATTCCTAAAGATGTCTGCTTGTGGTGCCTCCTAATGCACTAACACCAGCTACAGTCCACTGATTGCAAAGCTCTTCTAACACACAATCATCTGAAGACTGGTCATCCTTTTTGTTTGTCCACTTTTTCCGACAGACAATCTATGCAGCAATGACCTTCTGTGGCTCTGGACAACTGTCAAGTCAGCAGTCTTCCTCATGATTGGGGAAGATCGCTGAGCTACTGAACAGTGGTTGCATGTGCTGAACTAGACACAGTATTGATACTGGCGGACTCATCAAACTGAAAAGATTTTTGTAAGTCAAAAAATGCAATAATATAAATTATAACAGAGAAAAGACAATATATTTCACCTTACATGTAATGCATATATAATAAATGAAAGCTTGCCTTTTTGAACTAAATGTGGGGACATAACAAACATTTTTACAATATTCTAATTTTCTGAGATGCACTAATAATGTTGTTTAAAAAAATGATAACTCCATCTGACAGCTGTATCCCTACCTCCTCTCCAACATGAAGGTTTACAGTTAAACATTAAACATTTGCTTTGCAAGCCCAGACCTGCATAAAAGCAAAGTTTGGTTGGGCCCCCTATTTACACGTTAGACACCTGAGTTGTTCCACCAAACACTAAAAGGACCCTCTCACCAAGATCAACGTCATAATTCTGTGATCAGATATGTCACAATAAAAGTACAGACTCAAGAAATCCAAGCTAATGTTCGTTTATTCCTCTACACCTCAGGTACTAACCCTTTGAAAGCTGGCTTACTTTAAGTGCATACTTAAAAATGAGCAGCTTCCATACATGTAATAACGATATTATATCATAAATATTATAATAAAAGAATGACTGTTTATACTACGGTGCTGCTGCTTTAAGTGAAGCAGAGGAGGAAAGTACTATCACCGTCTTTGGTATCCGTATACACGCTGCATAATAAGGATGATGGGGAAGCTGGTGGCGCGCGCCGGAAACGCGCTTTGGGCCAGAGCGGGCGCGCGCGAAGCGGTGTGCAGATGTGTCGCAGATTTTGTAAAGTCACTGGACGCATGGAAAGAGCCAGCAAAAGGAAGTCGCTCTGGATAAATGGGCCTTTAAACTTTCAGGAAAACGAGGCAGCCGAAGGAGACACGCGTGGAAGAAGACGTATCCGAGGGAGGGCTGTCATACGCAGTTAACGTTAGCTTAGTTTGTCGGGGAGAGGGACGTTACTTTGACAGTTAAAAGCCAGCGGACGGCGGCGTGCGAAGAGATGGAGCTGTCAGCGATCGGAGAGCAAGTGTTTGCAGTGGAATCAATCGTCAAGAAAAGAGTTAGAAAGGTAAGCGTGTAAAAAACAAAATGCGGCCAAATTATCAGCTTCTCTAGCTCTCAGCACTTTAAGGAGACACGCTTTTTTTTTCTTTTGGTGAACCAGAATGCTACTTTAAAGATGCTAATGAAAGCTTTGGAGATTAAACGAGGAGAGCAGCGTTTCTAAGCTGGTTATCTAATTGCGGAGTGTATTGAGGGAGCAGGTGAGCGGAGGATGTCCCTTTAATTTGACACGGAGACTGTTGTTCCTGTACTACAGCTTAAAGTGTCAGGTGTTTGGCTTATAAGGCTTGAAGGAGGACGCGCTATCAACCCCAAAATACTCTGCCTTTGGGCCCATTTGCTCGCTAATTGTGTTTGGGTCTAAGTTACCGTGTTGTATTGACATGTGCAGGCGCGACGCATTTGTTTACTCGCAGGGCACAGGAGGGGAGGGGGGGGGGGGGGGGGGGGGGGGGGTGAAACTAGTGGTTTCCACCAGTGTCAACAACTAATATACAGAATATAAATACAGTGCTAAAGATCCACTTACATACTTGTTTCCCAAGTGAAATTAGCGATTTGCTGATATGTCAGAATCAGCATTTATAGCAGTCAAGGAATGAAAATGTAAAAAGTGAAGAAGAGATGAGAGAACCTTCATCCATGTTATAACTGTTAATGTTGCATAGTTTGTCCAACAGAGTTCTCTGCAACATCATAACAACAACCAGCAACCAGTGGATCTGAGTGCATCAGGCGGGCAGCACATGCATAATCCACAACTTGTTGTGACAATAAAACAAGATTATTTTTAAACTGTATTCATAAATAACGACTAACATTAAAGTCATTTCTTGTGTAGTATATTGTAGTAGTATTAGTATAGTAGTCGTATGTTGATATGTTGGCCAATATATCAGATTTTTAAAACATCAAATATCAGTATCAGTCTTTAAATTCTATATTGGCTCTAATATTTATGTGATCTTATTACAAGGTTTAGAAATGATAGGTAATAAATGTATTTATTACAGTCAAACATATGAGGTGCTTTTAATCATACAGTCTTTTTTTGTGTATGTGTAACTAGTGATTAAAATGAAGTCGGGGAAAAGCGGTGATTTCACCGACTGAGAATACCGTTGAGAGCCTGGAAGTTATTATTGGATGATGTCACAGAGGATGACTAATCTGAGTAGATTCGCTAGTATGTGGAAAACATACAATACATTTTGAATTGTGTTAATTATAGATATCTTCTGATGACATCATGGCAACATCTTCCTGCACATTTAACGAGAATGCGACGAGGCCTGAAATAGATAAGAAATAACAGATAATCATTAAATAAACTAATTTAAAGTTTGATTTGTTCCATTTCAGATTTGTAGTCATGCTACTGTGTTTTCATGTGATATACTTGTATAATATGTTACATTTAGGATTTCTAATGTTGTTTATATAGTTTCACACATAAAAGCTTAAAAGAGACAAACTTACTATGTACCACAAAAAAAGAAACCACCTCTGGTTGTAGCAAACGGCACATTTCAATGAAATCCAAGACACTGATGGAAAAGTTACTGTCACGGTTCTGGGTCAGGTTCGACCCAGCATTTTGAGTTCTTATGTTTTGGTTTATTTTTGAATGATTGTTTTGTTTCTCTGATGCTATGATGATTATTATTATTAGAGTTCCATGTTTTTTGTTTATCCGTGTTTAAGGATTTGTTGTTTCATGTATTGTTTGAGTTGCATGTGTTATATTCTGTCTGCCTCTCTGTCTGCGTCTTTATTTAGTGGTTTCTTGTTTCCTGTTTTATTGTGAAGGTCTGTGTCTCATGTGAGTGTGTTCAGTTCTACTGCTCCCCTGTCTCGTATAGTCCAATTTCTCCCAGCTGTGTCTCCCTCCTGTTGCCCATTCCCCGATTACCACCCTGTGTATATTAGCCCTGTGTTTTCCTGTGCTCAGTGTCGCGTCGTACCATCAGATTATGCCTGTGTGTTTCTGTTCTCAGTATTCAGCAGTCACTTCATGTTTTGTCTTCATGCCAGCAATAAAGCTGAGGTTTTGAGTTGTATTCAGTGTCCGAGTCTCGCATTTGGATCCTCCTCTCCATCCGCCTGCACACAGAGCTCTGGCAGAACGACGCGACCAGTAATGGATCCAGTAGACTCAGTGTGGTATCGGCGACCCACAGTTTTTGCCTTCCTCAAGGAGAGAGTGAGGCAGGAGGCTAAGTGTGCCCTGGGCGCACGAGTCACCCTGCGATGGCTCTTGTTTGGCTCTTGGTGGGCCCCACAGCTTCCAAACTTCGATGGCTACTGTCGTTCCATCAGTTGTTCTGTCAGGGATGCGAGGGGGCAAGTGCTCTCTCTCAAAGGCAGCAGCTCCTCAGTTTTCTGGTGTCACTCCGCCGCTGCTCTTAGAATTCAGGCCCTGCAGGAGGGGCAAGCAGTGGCGAAAGAAGGATTATGTGGTGGAAGACACTGGGCTTACTCCACTGCAGTCCTTTGCTTTGTTTTTTGGGACTTCCACGTTCGGAGCTACACAAACTTCCCACTTCTTTGTCCCAGCCCGGCCCACCGGAGGACTTTCGGTCTGGTCCGCAGGAGGATTCACGGTCTGGCTTACCTCCCTCCTCCCAGAGTGAGCGACGCTCACGCAGCCGTCGCTCCGCTGCTTCTGGACAATCAGCAGTGGTGAGCAACAGACTGTTTTTCTCATGATCCTCCTGAACTCATGAACGTAACAAACAATAAATCTACCCCTAAGACTTTGAAGACTAACTGCCAAGCAGGTGAATCTAAATCTGCTAACTTAGAGGTAGTTGATTCTTTGTTTGAACTCCTGCTCTGAGGATTTAAGAACCTGTTTTCATTCGGCACAATCTGAACCCAGTGTTAAAATGACTAAGACTACTTTACTTGAATCTGGGGGGAGAAATTTTCGGACTGCTGTGAAATTTCTGGAGGCTGCAAGTTCTGTTTTCAAGTCAGCGGAAAGGGAGGTGGTTAATGTTTCTAAGTCAGCTTTTCAGCCATGTACTTTTCATCAAGGGCACAGGCAGTTGGTAGGGACGGAGATTGCAGGCTGTAACTTGGGCTCTCTGAAGGAAGAGGCTGTCTGCTCCCCAAGGACATTTAAGGACTCTAGTTGCCCCTTTCTACAATCTATTAAGACTGTGGCTCCTCCTAGGGACTGTTCTGTATCCCTGCTGGATGTGTCTGAGGTTGCCCACTCTGCAAAGACTATATGCCCAGACCCAGTTGGCAATATTGTGCATTTTGAGGTCGTTCCTGAGCTTCTCTCTCCTCCTGTTCCTGCTCCCAGGGTAGCTCGGGCCCAGCGTTCCCCTCCACCCATTTCAGTACCTCGGGTGGGAGGGGCTGGTGTTCAGCTGTTGCCAGCACCTGTTCCTGTGTCGGCTGGAGGCTCAGGTGAGCCCGTCCAGCAGTTGTTCTCATGTTCAGAAGGCTCAGTCACCTTCACAACCACCGTCACTACAACCTCTATTGCAGTCCCTAGCTCAGTCTCCACCTCCACCACATTCAGCCCTGCTACCCATAGCTCAGTCATTACCAAAACCAGACTTACTACAAACTTTGTTACAGCCCAGTCAGTAGCTCAGCTGGTAGAGGAATCATTAACTTTGTCATCAGTTCAGGCCCCAGTGCTTTCACCCATTCAGTCAGCCACTCATCTTCACCCTCAGCCAGGGGTCCCAAATGGCTCTGGCCCTGCATCTGCTCCAGCTGGAGAGCCCAAGGCGCCCGTCCAGCCTCGTGCCTCGTCAGCTGGAGGGCCGGTCGGGCACGGTCGGTCCCCTGAACTGTTTTGGCCCTTGTGCTGTCGACCTCCGGGTTGACCCCCTGAACTTTTCATGGACTCCGGTTCTTGGACTCTTGTGCTCATTGTTTTTTTGGGGGGGGTTTTTTTGGGCTGTCGGGAGCCAGCCCTTGGAGGGGGTTACTGTCACGGTTCTGGGTCAGGTTCGACCCAGCATTTTGAGTTCTTTTGGTTTATTTTTGAATGATTGTTTTGTTTCGATGATTATCATTATTATTATTATTATTATTATTATTATTAGAGTTACATGTTTCTGTTTATCGGTGTTTAAGGATTTGTTGTTGCATGTGTTATATTCTGTCTGCGTCCTTCTTTAGTGGTTTCCTGTTTTATTGTGAAGGTCTGTCTCATGTGAGTGTGTTCAGTTCTACTGCTCCCCTGCCTCGTATAGTCCAATTTCTCCCAGCTGTGTCTCCCTCTTGTTGCCCATTCCCTGATTACCACCCTGTGTATATTAGCCCTGTGTTTTCCTGTGCTCAGTGTCGCGTCGTACCATCAGATTATGCCTGTGTGTTTCTGTTCTCAGTATTCAGCAGTCACTTCATGTTTTGTCTTCATGCCAGCAATAAAGCTGAGGTTTTGAGTTGTATTCAGTGTCCGAGTCTCGCATTTGGATCCTCCTCTCCATCCGCCTGCACACAGAGCCCTGACAGTTACAACCTTTATGTGTTTGACATTTTGACCTGAACAACCTTTTCCTTTTTTTTTTTTTTTTTGGCCTGTCCCGTTTGGCTCTTTTGCCATCAGAATTGTTGTCTAAAGACAAAGAAAGATGCCCAGCGGATTTACTTTACCAAACTGACCATCCCAGCCTTGCCGTAATGGTCCATTTGATTCACCTTTTATTGTTTATTTTATTTTCACTTACTGAATACGGGACAGACTTGACTGGGGGAAAGAAGGGGAGAAAGAGGGAAAGAGAAAAAGCTGAGAAGAGGGACGGGGGAGAAGGGCAAAAGACAAAAACCAACAGAACGGGCAGAGAAAAAAAAAATGCATATATCAATCACCTGGATCACCTGCTGAGAAAGGAAAAAAGAAAGCAAGCAGAAGAGAACAAGAGTAATAGAATAAACAACATCACAATGATATATGGGAATATGACAGTAAATACTAAATGTTAAACATTATTGTGCAGCACATAAGATCAACAGAACACAGTGTGCTTTGAGGTAGGAGCCAAAAAGGGTGTAGTTTGTGGGTGTGATCACCCGTGTGTACACCTGTGAGCATGGACGCGCTTGTTTTTTGTTTTTTAAAAGGTTCCTTCATGTAATAATCTGCTAGAGGGTGTGGGGGGGCCACAGCCCCGTCCTCCAGGGCATGAAGCAGGTATGGAGGAGATCAAAACTCCAGACATCCAGAGGCCCCCAGAATACAAGAGACCAAGGAAGACCAACAGAGGGGCAGCTGCGCCACTGTCCCAGAAAGAGCTGAGGAGAGTCCCAGATGAGGGCTCACTCAGCAGCCGCGGAGCAGAAGCCAGGGGGAGTTGCAGTGACGCGCCCGTGAGCTCCGCCGGCAGCCAGCTGCGCCTGAGTGACCGAGCCCCAGGCCGAGAGGCCGGGGCACCCCACCTCCGAAGTGGCCCGAGCGAGCCCCAGGCTCCAGGCCCCGATAAGCGGCCGCCAAGGAGTGAGCCGGTGTGTACCTGGACGCCCATCCCCGGACACAAAGAACCACCAACGCACCGATGTCTGAGGGAGTCCGCCACTGGCAGGGGAAGTGGTGGTAGGGGGAGATAGGCCTCCAAACCTTGGAGGGCCTGAGATGTCCCCAGAGAGGTGGCGTCTGACACCCAACCTGACATATAGACACAGACATACAGGCACACACATATACAAACATCCATTCCCACCCTCATGCTCTCATATGCACTCACTCCACACTCAACCAACGTGGAGACAGACATAAAGAGACGCTGTACACACGATCACACTCCCCAAGCGTACTCTACAAACCGGGTCTAGGTGCCCCCGCCCCTGGAGGGGGGAACTGCACCCAGACCCAGGTGGTGTTTCCCTTTTCCCTGCGGTGGGGGGAGGCAGACCGCCCCGACTCCGTAGCAGCAGGAAGGCTCCACACTCCAGACCGCAGTCGGACGGCCAACTCCTCCTCCTAGTCCTAGCCCCCTGCTCCAGCAGGTCGCAGAGAATGGGGGTGAGAGAAGACTCCAAACCTCCCTCCACCCGCTCATTGTAGTGTTGATGCATGTGTGTTCTAAGGTGCATTTAAAACCCAGGAGGGCATGGAGCTACCTGCCAGAGAGCAGCAGGTAAGCGCATGGTCCCTCCTGCTAGCCCTCAATGTCTACGTGTATTTAACATTGAGAGGTGGGCAACGACGCCAGGGGTGGGGTGTACACCCTGATGGTACTTTGGACTCCGTGTATCGTGCCCACCCCCAAGATCCTATATGTATGTGTAATGAGAGTGTGAGTAATGTGAATGTCTAAGTTGTGGGATAAAATTGAGGCAGAGGCAGCCAGAAGGGGACAGAGGGGGGAGGGGAGGGGGGGGGGGGGGTAGCCTCCTCTGCACCCTGGTGACATACCCCTACTCCAAGGCCCTGCATGTGTGGGTGGTTGTGGTGGAGCGGGAAGAGGGAGGCAGCTGGAGATGGGGAGGGAAGGAAGGGAGGGGCAAGTGACCCCTCCCTGGGGCCAGCTCCCCCGCTGACCCCAGTAGGCACCCCCATACTCCGCGACCCGCCAGGGAAAGGGGGCCCAGGCCCATCCAGACTGGGCCCCAGCGCAGCAGCGCCGCCCGGCCCCACAGAGCCCGGGACAGTCCACCCAACCCCACCACAGAGAAAACTGCACCCACCCCACCATCCACTCATCTTCCAGACTACATAAGACAATAAACACCCAGGCTGAGATCTTCCTCCACCTCTCCTGTATCTCCCCCTCCTGCAGAGGGAGCTCCTGAGGAGAGGAAAGCTCCTGCAAGATGTGACAATCTCCCCCACCAGTTGAAGAGCCCCTCAGGTGGCTCGACGCACCGGCGGCACCCTGCTCCAGGGCTGGGCCCCCATGCACCCACCCGCCCACAACCCCGGCAACACACCAACCAGGACCCAAGCCCCCGAGGCCGGGTGCGGGTCCCAGCCCAGAGACGGAGCGCCCCCAGAACCTCATGCCCATCCCGGACCCACCCAGGGGCAGCCAGGCTACCAGGTCAGTAACCCACGTCCGTCAGCACAGACCCTCCCCTAGCCCCGCTGCACGCAGCCGCGAGGAAACAGTCACCTGAGAGCCAACAGAGCCCCTAACCGGACATGACCGCTACCCCGGGTTGAGCCCCCCAAGGAAGATGCCTCCGGGGAACCCCCCGACGCCCTAAGCCTGTCCCTACCCCCACACCAATCACAACAGTGAAGGCAGGACCAAACTATGACCCCCCACCCCCACTAGGTGATGGAGCTGATCAAAGGAGCCCAGAGCAATTGATCTGATGTGGTGGCAGAGGCTGTATCAAGACTAATGTAATCTAATAGATAATTTCTATATTGGTTAGAGTTATTTTTCCAGTTCATGAGGACTGTTTTCTTGGCTATGCATAGGGCAGTGAAAACCATATGGGCGATATTCTTTTCTGTAGTGACATTATCTAAGCTGCCCAACAAACACACTAAGGGGGAAGTTGGAATGTTACATTTCAGACACTTCGATAAGTCTTCACATATCTCGCGCCAAAACTTCTGAACTGGTGGACAGAACCAAAGAGCGTGGATATAATTGTCCGGTGAATTGGTTTGGCAGTGTGAGCAGTTGTTGGTAGACGTAAAGCCCATCTTGAACATCCGATGACCTGTATAGTGCACTCTATGTAATATTTTGTATTGAATTAATTGAAGACTGGGATTTCTAATTAGATGAAAGGTTTTTAAGCAAATCTGAGACCAGAAGTTTAGGTCTAAGTTAACTGATAAATCCGCTTCCCATTTTGCAATAGGAAGTGATATTGATTCATCTGTTTTAGAAAGCATTCTGTATATTTTGGATAGTAATTTGGGGGTTTTAAGAGTAAGAAATTGAACCACACTTGGTGGTGTTTGTAGTTCAACTTGACCCGGTTTAAATTTCTTTTTTACTATGGATTTAATTTGTTGATATTCTAAAAATCTTTTCTTGTTGATCCCATATTGTGTAACTAGTCCGTCAAATGAAATAAATTCTGTTCCTTCTAGTATATGTTCTAAATATTTGATTCCTTTATCACGCCAATCTGAAAAGTTTATCATATTATTGTTTTGTAATATGTCAGGGTTGTTCCAGATAGGTGTACGTTTGCATGGGATTAATGAAGACGCCGTCAATGTTAGAAACTCCCACCATGCTGTCAGAGAAGAGCTGATGTTGATGCTTTTAAAGCATTCATGTCGTTGGATGTTTGAGCTGATAAATGGTAGGTCTGAGATCTCTAGATTATTGCAGAGTGGTTGTTCTACATCTAGCCAAGGTTCATCTAAGAGGGTGTGTTTTAGCCATCCTGAGATAAACTGAAGCCTGTTGGCTAAGAAGTAGTGCTGAAAGTTAGGCAGTTCTAGTCCTCCTTTATCCTTGGTCTTTTGTAGTGTTTTTAAGCTTATACGTGGGGGTTTATTTTTCCAAAGGAATTTGGACATACATGAATCTAGAGATCTGAACCAATCTTGTGGCGGTTTAGTTGGGATCATTGAGAATAAATAATTTATTTTTGGTAAGACCATCATTTTTATAGCGGCAACCCTTCCCATGAGTGATATGGGTAGACATTTCCATCTAGCCAGATCATCTTCTACCTTCTTTAAAAGTGGGATATGGTTTAATTTAGTTAGATCTGCAAGCTTGGGAGAAACATTAATACCTAAATATTTTATATTTCCCGCTTGCAGTGGTGTAGAAGAGGAATTATGGAAAGAGCAATTAATCGGTAGGACTGTAGATTTTGACCAGTTAATTGAGTAATCTGATATTCTTGCAAAAGAGTTTATCAATTCAATCACCCCAGAGATATTGGTTTGTGAATTTTGGAGAAAGAGTAACACATCATCCGCATAAAGGCTGATTTTATGTTCCACGTTCTTGCATTTTATGCCCTTAATTACTGAATTCTGTCTAATTGCTGCTGCTAGTGGTTCAATAAAAATTGCAAATAGTGAAGGGGAGAGTGGGCATCCCTGCCTGGTGCCCCTCAAGAGACAGAAGCTGGAGGATGTCTGGTCATTTGTTTTAACACAAGCTGTTGGGGGATTATATAATATTTTTAACCAGTTTATGAAAGAGGATCCAAAACCAAATTTGTGTAAAGTTGCAAATAGAAATTTCCAGTTAACTCTGTCAAATGCTTTTTCTGCGTCTAAAGAGAATATTGTAGTTTCTAGGTTTTTACTGTATGAGTAGTCTATCAAATTAAGTAATCTACGTGTATTTGTTGATGAGTGCCTACCTTTTATGAAACCAGTTTGGTCAGGATGAATTAAGAGGGGGGTTATTTTCTCCAGTCTCTTTGAGAGAGCTTTGCAGATTATTTTAAGGTCTACATTTATAAGGGATATTGGACGATAGCTTGAGGGATATACAGGGTCTTTGCCTGGTTTTAGCAGGAGATTAATGTTTGCAGAATTCATATTTGATGGAAGTGACCTGAACAACCTGATACCATCAAATCTAACTGCCTGGCCCCGCGATATCACATCCAGGCAGTTAAATCAGTTTAAATGTGAAAATGCTGCACAGAATAGCGATGCACTCCCTTAAGTTGCATCAAAATGAGACATTGTGCGTCTGAGAGATGAGGTAATTGTTGATGGGCTGATTTCATTGTGCTTGGCAGTGGTTCCCAACCTGGAGGTGAAAGCACTCACAGTAGGTCACAAGATCCACTGAGTGGAGGAAAAAAGAGAAGAGAGGAGCAGAAAGTTTTGTTTTGTTTTGTTTTTTGTTGTTTTTTTTGTCTGGTTTTTTTGTGGGGGTTTTTTTTTTGGCTTGTAATTTGTTTCTTCAATTACTTAAACAGTTCAAAACGGGGGGGGACAAACACTACTCTCTATCTGAAGCTGCTCTGAAACTTTGTCTCCACAGGGGAATGTGGAGTATCTGCTGAAGTGGAAAGGATGGCCTCCAAAGTGAGTATGTAGATTAGAAGAATAGGATGGATAACATGAAATGGAACTGAATGTGACTCACAGAGTGGTCTGCAAAAGTCTTGAGCCACCCCTCATTTTTTTAAAAATATTGTACTTAACAGGACCCAGTTTTGCCTGTAACTTTTTGAAAGTGGTTTTGAACAGTAGTCCTTTGGCTTTCTGAAGGTAAAACACAACTAGCATCCAAAAAAGAGCTTTGGAGTATCCTTCAAGAACCCCGGAGAGCTATTCCTAAAGTTTAAAACATTACAAGAAAGCTTGCCCAAAACACTTCAAACTATATGAAGAATAAAGTTGGTCATATTATATATGGACCTTATGGCTTGTTAAAAGTGTGCAAACTTAGATTTTGACTACAGACTGAATTTCTGTGCATTGTTGCACATGTTACAATAATTTCCATCACCTGTTTCTCATATTCCTAGCAAAATATGAAGAAATGCCAGTTGGGCCAAGATTTACTCTCCACATAAACACACTGTTCAACATTGCAATCAATCATATTTATCTTTTTAAAAGTATATAAACAATGCATCAGATGTTGTGAAATTAGAAATGTAGTAATTTGTTGAAAAACATGCCCATTTTCAATTGGATGCAAGCTGCATCTTTCAGAAAAGTTGAAACAGGGACAAAAAAAACAGGATGATCTCATGACAAATCAGTTAATGTACAGTAGCAGTATGATTGGATAATAGGACATCCTATAGGCGAGGTCTGTGCTTTGGCAGTTTGACACTGTAAGAATGTTTGTCAGAGCAAAATTTCAGAGAATTAGAGGATTTCATCACATATGGTGTGGCGTGGTGATTAGCACTGTAGCCTCACAGCAAGAAGGTCCTGAGTTCCATTCCACCAGGCTACCATCTGGCTCGGGCCTTCCTGTGTGGAGTTTGCATGTTCTCCCTGGGTACTCTGCCTTCCTAAGAACGCAGTTAGTGGGGTTAGGTTAATTAATGATTCTAAAGTGCCCATAGGTGGGAATGATTGTCTCTCTCTCTCTATGTGTTAACCCTGTGACGGACTGGCGACCTGTCCAGGGTGTACCCTCCCTCTTGCTCTATGGTACCTGGGATAGGCTCCACCCCCTACGACCCTGACAAGGATAAGCAGAAAAGAATCGATGGATGGTATTCAGAGAGAAGCTATGCAGGGGAGAACCTGTATTGAATGACCATAGTTATCAGGCTCTTAGATAGCTCTGGATTAAAGATTGACACAGTTTTATTGTGACAATCTTTACACTGTCACTTTCTCTGACGTAAACTCACTTTGGATGGACTGAGGCAAAGGGAAAATTTGTTTTACGGTCTGATAAGGCAGAATTTAAAGCAGCAGAATCAGTTTCTAATAAAGAGCCATCATTATTAAAGAGCCATAGAGACATTAAAAAGCAAGAGGAAGGAGTTATATATCAAGCAACAGTGGGTAAATACTTTCCTTTCTTGACTACAGCAGCTGCTTTTCTCAGTCCCTAAACAGTTAGTGTTGTTAAAAGAACACAGTGGTGCTCATCCTTATGATCCAGCTTTTATTGAAATATGTTACTGACACCATGCATGAATTTAAAATGAGAATTCGTTTTTATAATAATAAATCTCGATCAATTAAACATTCAATATGTCGTCCTTGTTTTATTTCAACTTAAATACAGGTTTTAAATGGGATTTTTTTTGTGTATTGACTTTGTGGGAATGGGGTTGTGTATACTCTGACCCACGACAGCCTTAAAACCACCTGCCTGATACTCTGTAGGTCCCCTTGGTGCTGCCACCCATTGGGGCATGGACACAGGATCTCTGGGAGTGTCCTTCTTTGGGCCCTGTTTGGGTTGTAGGGTAGGTCCTCTTGTTCGATTGTATTGAGATCTCGGGAGCATGGAGGTCGGGTCAACGCTTTGGGATCTTTGTCGTGTTCCTCGAGTCATTCCTGAGCAATTTTTGCAGTGTGCACGGGCACATTATTCTCCCGGGGTAAGCCGCTATCATCAGGGAGTGTAGTTACCATGGAGCAATATTTACGTGGGTGGTGTGTGTCAGGTGACATCCACATGAATGTTAAAATCTAAGGGTTCCCAGAAGAACTTTTTATTGTATGCAGACGATCAGTGTTTTTCACTTAAGCTGTCAGTGGTTTTAATGTTGTAAATATCAACATACTAAAAAATATAGAAATGCCGTTTTGAAAAGTTACACCAGGGCAAGAATTTATTTTAACTGGAGTTCTAAAGTTTGTTTTTCTGATTTAGAAATACAATAAATACACTGTGTCAGCACTTTGGCCTTGTTTTTAAATGAATCAACAGACTGATTTTAATTACCTAAATGATTATAATAATAAATTATTTATGGAGGTCATTGAAAAACGAAGAAAGCTTTTATATATGTTTTGCATCCTCCTACAGGTACAGCACTTGGGAACCTGAGGAACACATTCTGGACCGGCGCTTGGTTCAGGCCTACGAAGAGAAGTAAGGCTGCCTTCAGCCACCATTTGTCATTTATTTTTTCAACTTTGTACTTTGCTCCTTTATTTAACACAAACTGACATGCAGAGTCTAATTTTTGTTTATAAATGTGTGCATATATATACGTATATAGATACAAATTATATTATATTTTTAGGGTTTCCCCTTGGAGGCAGTGTGTTATCAGTCTGATATCTGTCTGCACTTGAATGGGGTCAAGTTGGCAGTTGCATACACTCTGAATCTGATAATCCAGAAGTTTTCCTATATTGCCAAAAGTATTTGTTCATCTGCCTTCACGCACATATAAACTTGACTCACATCCCATTCTTAATCTATAGGGTTTAATATGATGTTTGCCCACCCTCTGTAGCTTCAACAGCTTCAGATCTTCTGGGATGGCTTTCCACAAGTTTTATGAGCGTGTTTATAGGAATGTTTGATAATTCTTCCAGAAGGGCATTTGTGAGATCAGACAATGATGCTGGAAGAGAAGGCCTGGACGTTGTCACTTGGCGCAATGCACAAAGTACTGATCTCCAGGCAGTCACCAAACCCAGACTTGTCCATTGGTTTACTAGACAGAGAAGAGGGATTTAGAGATGCAAAGGGTCTGGGCTGCTCTAGAGTCCAGTGGCAGCGTGCTTTACACATCCTTATTCAACGCTTTGCATTGGGCTTGGTGATGTAAGGCTTGGATGTATCTGCTTGACCCTGGAAAACCATTCCATGAAGCTCTCTACACACTGTTCTTGAGCTAATCTAAAGGCCACATGAAGTTTAGAGGTCTGTAGCGACTGACTCTGCAGAAAGTAGGTGATCTCTGCGCAGTATGTGCCTCAGCATCTGCTGACCGCACTGCTACCGCACTGCTGATTTTTCTTGGCTGAGTTGTCATCGTTTCCTCCAGTCGCTTCCACTTTGTTATAATGACACTAACAGTTGACTGTGGAACATTTAATAGCAAGAAAATTCCACGACTGGACTCGTTGCACAGGTTTCATCCTATCACAGTACGATCCTGGAATTCACTGAGAGCGACCCATTCTTTCAATGTTTGTAAAAGCAGTCTGCATGCCGAGGAGCTTGATTTTATACACATGTAGAATTCAGTTATTTGGATTTACAAATCATTATAAATCATCAAAAAGCACATATAGAAACATAGACAGAAATTTGCATTTAACTATGACATTTGAAATAAGACATAAGATTTCTTCTTATTTGTTTGTATAACCTCTAAATTGGTACTTGGTTCTATAATCATATATATGTTGGTGATTTCTGAAAGGAGAATTGCTAAACAACACACACACACTCAGACACACATATATAATTTTTTATATAATTTTTGGACGAATATTGAAGTAAAGCATGTAGGTAGTCTCCTTGGGCAACACTGGAAGACTATTTTTAGAAGCCTCCTTGAAAGCCCCTCTCTGACCATTTACATTTGTACGTCTGCAGTGATTCCAAAATGTCACAATCGCAACCTTTCAGCTTGAATTAATTAGGGAGGGGCCAAAGTTGTTCGGTGGTGAGCAACAGTTGTGTTGTTGTTAATGCACAGTGTCCCTATGTATGATGGCACACATGGCGTAGTTTGAGTGGTTGTTGTCTAATGTAGTACCTCAAAGCTTCCCAACATTACAGTACAGCTCTTTTCAGACTTTCTGACCCCGAGTCAGAACGCACAATTTGGCTTGGATGCTTTTCCTGCCTGACAAAGGTCTGCTTGGTTTTTCCAGAGAACAGAGAGAACGAGCTCTGGGTCCCAGAAGGAAAGGAGCCAAATCCAAAAGAATCCTTCTGCAGGTAAAGTTTGGAATTTGATTAAAAATTATATATATATAAAATTCAAACTGTGTTTCTCTCATTGGGGCCTGACAATGACGTTACTCTTTTTTTCTTTTTCTGTTTGATCTTGATTCAGAATACTGTCTACACCATGGATCTCCGCAGCGCTCACAAGATTCCCGAAAAGCCTGCACCGCGCCTGCGTCTGTCTCTGACACGCTCTCTGCTCCCCGAGGATGACCATCAGCCATACAGACAGGAATCACAACACAGACTGAGGACAAAGGAGTTCAGATGCTTTAACTCAAACCCTCCAAGTCCAAGACAAGAGAACTGGGAAGAGCATGGAGAGGAAGACGAGGAGGAGGAGGACGAGGAAGAGGGAGAGAACAGCATGGAAGATGATGAGGACAGGGAGGAGGAGCAAGAGGAGACTCAGAAGAACACAGCAAAGGAGAGCGATGGCATTTTAAATGGTATGTGTGTCACTTGGTCAGCCAGTGGACTCTAATCAGCTGCGTTTGCCTCTGGGATGCTCTCATGAGGTCAGGGGCCAGTTAATAAACAAGCAACTGTATTTAATAGATAAAAAAGAATGACTTGTCTATCTTTGTTATTGCTTTTTTTAATTAACTGACTACATTAACTTGATACGAGCATTGACACCGGGTTGTTTTTGTCCCAGTCAACCCTCACTGACTAGTCCTTTTCTAAGGTTTTAAGTAGCTTGTTCTGCTGTTTGGAGTGCAAAGACCCGAGTCAGGGGGAGAGGGGCTTAAGCCCATCAATCAAGTGACTAACACAGAGAGAAGAGCAACCACACACTCACGTTTACACCTCTGGGTGGCTGAGAATCACCTACTATACATGTCTGTTGTAGCAGTTCCTGTTGTTTCTACCTTGCTGTCCTTCTGATCAACGATAAGTCCCATCCACGTGCAGTTGTTTTTCAATATGAGATACCATCCGTCCATTTTCTTCTGCTGATCCATATCAAGGTCACCTCTCCCACCCATCATAGGCTGGAGGATGGGCTACACCACCTTTCAGCACTTCTAGTGTAACTCTAGTCTTTGTTCTTCATCCTCCATCTCTCTGTTCTGTAAATGTATTGTAGTGACAGAGCATCTCCCAGCTGTCAGCAGACTATCATGCTGTTCTCTTAATGCTAGTGTTATCCAGAAGGGTGTCCAGGCCACAGTGTAAGTCTGTGAATGCACAATTGTTTGTGTTACAAATTTTCACACATCTACTCAGGCTATCTCCTGGGCTCCTCCCCACCCAGCTGCAATAACACATACACAGGGTAGACCCAGCACTCGCTGGAGAGAGTATGTATCTTTAAACCCCCACAGAGAAGTGGAAAACAATAGGGGAAAAGACATCTGGAATACCCTGTTTATCCTGCTGCAACCCTGATCCAAGCTTGAATAAGTGGAAGAAACTGGATGGATAAATTGTTTATATTTGATAAATATTGTTTTGCCCCGATAAAGAGAGATGGTTTGGGATGATTGATTTGTCATTTACTCACTATGAGTCATTAGTTATTATAGTAATTAGTGATCATTAGTTAATATTAATCTCTCTTGTGTCTTTTGTTGTCTCTCCAAAAACTGTCTTCTTTCTACCCTCACCTTTTCCCCTTTCTGTGAAAAGGGAGTTTTTCTTTCCCACTTTCGCCAAGTGCTTGGTCAAAGGAGATTGTGTGATTGATGGGGTGTTCTGTATTATTGTAAGGTCTGTACCTGACAATATAAAGCACCTTGAGGTGACTCTTGTTGTGATTTGGTGCTATTTGAATTGAATTTAACGGGGATTGCCTCCTCTCCTAGTTCAGTAACAGGGAGCGGTCTTGTTGATATTCACTGTTCTGCATGATCGTGCAGTAATCCCAACCGTAGTGTGCTCTTCTGTTTTCTGGGAAACATAAGCAGCCACGTGCACTCTGTTTTGATGCATGTTATAACATGCATCAAAACAGATCAGTCAAGGCAAGCTAACTCAGAACTCGAGTGGCAGCCTTGATGCAGTAGTTGTCTTAGTGTAAATGTACACTTTTCACCTTCTGCCTTTCTCCCTCTGTGTCCCTGCCTCAACCAGGACATGAGAGGACAGACGGCTGGAGCTCCACGGGACCAGACGAGGGCACTACATCAGAAAATATCTGGAGACCCGTCATATGTCCGGGAGAAATAACTGTCACAGACATCACCCTGAAATCCCTCACAGTGACTTTCCGAGAGTCAAGAGTGGCCAAAGGCTTCTTCAGAGACTGGGGCCTGAAAGTCTGAATTCTGGAAATGGGGTTGGCCGGTTAGCAGTGGAGGCATGGTGAGAGGGAGCTGAAGGCACCGACGCAGTAGGTAAAAGGTGCCACAGTAGGTGTTTTCACTCTCTCTCTGCTTGTCTCATTGCCAGCCTCTCCCAACTTTCTGAGTGGTACATTTACATGCACAGAGTCACCTGAATATAAGCTGATCTCCAGGTAAAGTGTTATTTTCATTGTTCTTGACACTTTTCCTACAATCAGACTGAGTTGCCTTGAATAAGAAGAGCATTACATCAATGTTTATATTAAGAACAGGATTTAAAACTTGAGTAAATCCTGAAAGGAAGTTATTTTGTGGTTCCAGTAGAATGAGAGGCTTATAAAGTGATGGCCACAGTAAGGACCTTCTGACCAAAACTTAAAAAATGGCCACCATACAACTTGCGTAGCATTCTCATGCATTAAATAAGTGGATCAGCCACAGAAGAAGTCCACGTGGTACGTCATGTGGACAACTGCAAAAATCTTGCTCTGCTCCATTTTTCTAAGTGAATTTTCATTTTTTATGACAACCAAGACAACAGAAAAACATGGAAAGCTACATCTCCAGAGAGAGAGATGAGGTTATCCAAACACAGGTCCAACACAAACGTGATGAAAAGACAGTACTGAATATCTGTGAAGGCATTGAATACTGGCAAAATCATTTTGGTATCTGTTCTTTCCTTTGCCACTGGAGCAAAGACTGGGCCACATTAAGTATTTCAGCTAATCATGACCAAGGTACAGTCAGAAACACTGACAGATCAAATGTGAAGAATGTCCAGACATCTGGAATCAAACAGCTGGAAATGTGTGGAGGTAAAATGGCTCAGAGTTTACTTGTATTGTTGGCATTGCTTAATGCATAGATGTCCAAAGTAAAGTTCTCCTCTAGAGATGTCTTTCAAAGAAACACAACTACAGTCGCACAGTAGTGGATAGGGGTTTTCTTTGTTACCCTAAGGTATAATAAAGATGCAAAACACATTTCTGCCACGACAAACCATTTGAAAAGTCACCTGCTTCATAGTTAGTTTACCAGGTTTGGCAGAGCGGCCAGATCGCACCAATCCATCCAAGCTGTCAGTGGTGGGTCATTGGTTATGGCTACCTGACAGTACTGACAGGCACCGTGAAACCAAAAACTTAGTTGCTTTGAGAATGAAGTATTTCTTCTCCTTGATGTCCCAAATGTCCAAATTATTGACCCATGTGGATTTAAAATCCCTGTAACTGTTTGAAATTGCATAAATGTTGATCCCGGAGGCATTCAGACAATGATGGAAAACAAGTAAAGTAGCGCTCCCGCAGGCAATTCCATGGTTTTAGTGATGGAAACACAGAGCTCCGTACTTTACGTGGATCCCAAGTTATGACTGAACACTGTGAATCGAGAGGATCTTACCTTTCATGCAGAGTCTTTATTTTTGAACTCCAGCGATGAAGTATATGTAGTAGTTTCACAGTTTAAAGTAGCACAAAACTGGAAAGTCAAACAGCCAATTCCTTTGATATTGCACTTTTCATTAGCGCCTGAGCAAATTTCTTGGCTAAATGTTTGACCTTACATTAGATCGTCTTTTTCCTCTAAGCCCATTTGCCCCATGACGAGCAAAATCCACTGACAACTCCCCACCAGCGTGATCTGAGTTTGCCATTTATGTTTGTGTAATAGTTATGGGCTTTTGTTTTTGTTTTTTGCTTTAGACATGTTAGCTTTAGAGGTGGTTCAAATTTGTCTGGCCTCTACCCTTTGACCTGTTCAACCTGGGTATCCCTACCAGGAGCCTCTGCTCCCACTGGCACAGCTCTCCTGGTCATTGAAGCACACAGGCTACATTAGTAAACATGTGAGGAAGAGAAGGGAGGAGTTCTCTGTGCATGTAAACGGAGCCACACTAAGCCAGCCTGACTGGACTCAAACATTTTGTACATACTCAGTGAGGTGGGCTTAGGTATCAGACCCATACTAACACACAGTGCTGTACCTGTAACCTGTAAACTCATAGACTGTTACTGCTGTACAACACGTGGCTTTAGTCTTGTATGCGTTTCAAAATCCTCCAAGAGAAGATTTGATCCGCCTGCATGCCTTTCTCCTCCAGTACAGTTACTATAGCGATATAAAGACGGTGTAGTCTTCTCTGTTCAACTAGCTCTTCATCTCCGCACATATAGCCCACCATACAAGTGACAAATTTGTACCAAAAGGAGAAACTAAATGAGAGAATGTATTAAGGAATTGCACTGTATTAGCATCATAGAGGTTTGTGTGTCCACCGGGAGGCTCTCTTTGCAAAGACTGATGGGTAGAATTTCAAAGGCAAAGTTTTAAAGCTGCTACCAGCTGATGTTTCGCACCAATATTCAGTCCCTTTTAATCATATCATTTGCACTGTCCTTATCCATTAATGTGATTCTTTTAAAACTGGAAATGCCTCATTAAGTCAATTACCAAAAGGCTAAAAAGCCGAGCTAATGCATTTAGTTTTGTCAACCGTGTAGCGTTCCAGCACAACTTTCAGAAAATGTGCTTTTCGGCTAATAAAACAGATAATATTAGTAACCCATCATCTAACAGCCGGCTAAGGCTCTTAGCCAGTGATAATGTCATTTAATAATGCAGGAAAACCTTTCAGTTTTAAACAAATGGTCTCTGAAAACAAAGAGGGACTAACGTGGACATTAACATGTAAAACTGGACGAGAGTCTATACTTTGAAATTTGAAACTGTGTAACTACATGTAGAGTCTCTTATGTTGGAAGCTGTAGCAGGCTTTATAAAACACTTTTCCAAACTGTATAAATCCCCAGTCACACCAGCCTAAAGACCAATAGGAACCCAAAGTAATGTGCGTAGAAGAATGCACATTTTTCCAGAGGGACCGGTGGTGTCTGAGGGGCCGCCAACTGATCTCTAGCAACCTATAATTGGTTATCTCATAACATAAGTATCTGTAACATGATATATTCACAGTAATTATGAGTAAAAGGTCATTTTGGACCAGGCTAACCTATAGCTAGGGTGACCAGATCCCAAGAAACTGAATGTGAGGGACACGTCAGCGATGCTGAGAGGTAGTCTGAAACGTTCATATCCAACCACAAAATAAAAATACAATAAATTGTTCATGTTCCAACTCTCCCAGTAAGTAAATACACTACTGAAAAAGAAAGCTCTAGTTTGTTCTTATGCTATGATGTGATGGGCTTTATATACTCCTGTATTTTTCTTTTTTATGTCTCTGTTATTCCAGTAGTTCTGTTTGCATCATTGCATAGATTGGACAAGGAATCAAAGTGCTGCACGGTCCCACATAAGGACGGGCTTCTGGTCACCCGAGTAGGTTTGGCTTATTATTTTACATTAGTTTCATCACCGGGTTTTGCTTAGAGATTCCTTCTTTCGTCTGCATTTCCATGAACATTTCTTCTAACGTTGACTGAAAAAGTTGAGTTTTTGCAGTTCATACATGACTTTAAACTAAACTTTAAAACACCACCTCGCTTCAGTTCTGCTAAAAAGGTTTCAGAACACCGAGAGATGAAAATCACAGAAATCCAAATCATTTAGATGATATTAAAAACGATTAAAGATATCAACGTTCAAAATGATCAATTCCATGACAGCTGAGCAGCCAGCGGCTCAAATAAATGGAAACCTTGACAAATGATTGCGATGTGTTAATCAAAAGTGGAAGGTTTGAGTTATCAGGGAGCGACACTGAATGATCAGTATTACAAATTCAAAACAAACTAAGAAGTAAAGCCTAACTCTGGACCCAGCAGGTCAGTCTGACTCCACAGGCTTCCACTGGGGACGCAGGAGCCGATGTGATGTGTCACATCTATGGAATCTCCCACAGAGGCATCGCATTGGTCCACATGTTGTTTATATCACACTGAGGATTGATGGGTCAGCCTCTCATGATCTTCAAACTGTCTGTGTGACAACGAGCTGCAGGGAATGGAAGTGCCTGATGTTGCCTTTTTTTTCTTTTGTCTGTGGAGCTTTTAGGGCTAATACTTCCCTTTTACACACACACATTAACACACCTTTCCCGTCCCAGTTTTTTGTTTGGCTGTTTTTGTTTTGTTTTGTTTTTGTATGTCTGGATTTCACCATCCTTCAATGATGTTACTAAGACTTGAAAAACAAGGCGACGCGAGGAGGAAGCCAGAGAGGAAACGTGTATTTTTTGGTGGTTATTTTTCTACATTGACCTGAATGTATATTTATTCTTTGAGGGTGTATTTGTCACTTCGATGACCAACAAGGATAGTTTTTTATACAGTTTGTGATAACCACTGAGCTCATGCCATACTTCAGTGTTGCTGACATGACGTAAAAAGCACCTTGGATTTGACGTTGCCTGACGTGGTTGCTCGCGCTGCTTTCGTCCACCACTGAGCGAAGAACCTTGCACTTTATTGTGATGTAACCCTAGATTACATGCTCCGGTTTATGAAGTGTCATTGTGTATAAACTATTTCTATGGTACTACTAAAATAAATGTTGCTCATGTTTAATATCATTTGAAGTCAGCCTCTTGATTATTTACAGTGACACGAGTGACTTTTTCCAGGTGCAGTTTTGTGTCTAAAGGTTATAACAGATCTACAGTGGGTCGACATGTGGTGTCACTTTAAGTGAACTGACGAACTGAATGTGAGGTAAAGCTGTCAGAGAGCCTCCATGGCTTGCATGTAAAAGGCAAAAAAGAGGCAAATTTTAATGTGTCTGCAACTTCAGACTCAAGATATGAAGTTTTATATTTTATCATCTGAGAATGGCTCCCCTTCAGCTAACAAGTGAAAAGACTAAAGAAAGACATATATTGTATTGGACTCATTTCACAAAGTTTTACAGCCTGTTCCAGAGTAAATATACACAGCAGACTGACAGCGTAGACTCACTGCAGGTGCAGCTGGGATTACCTACTTGAATTGGCAGAACAGAATTCACATGACTGCAATCTACTGCTATCTAGTGGTGAAATTTTACTCAGTGTACCATTAAATATATATTTATGTCCTATTCTTTTCTTAGAAAAACCTAAATCGTTGTACTTAATTTACAGTCATATTACATTGACTTAAATGGTCATACTTTTCTACTGCAGACATGGTCTGTAATATCTCTAATGCCATGTTTAGGAATAACGTGGGGGGACGTTCGAAAAAATATTAACGCAGAGGTTTTTTAAAAGCAGATTTCAAGTTTAAACTTTGTTTCTTTGACTTGATAGTTTTCACATATTTAGACCATTGACTGTATATAAATGATGGATGCAGCCATCAGTCCATTGTTGGTTTGTGGAGAATGATGAAAGCGCAGGTTTAGCATTTTTTCCCCCCCCCCATCTCCATATTTGTTTTTGGGTTGTTGTTTTTTTTTTTAGGTATGCATGTCCATATTTGACTGAGAGGGTAGAGCTGGAGATTTATCAGCTAATCTTAGCACAGTTTAGACAGCTTAATCAGCAAATTGCATCTTTAATTTACTGCATTTTATTTGAACTTACTGTGATGCTAATTTAGGCTAGTAAAAACAAAACTCCTTACTGGAGAACTTGGAACAGCTGATGCATTTGCATCACTTTGCACAACACTGTGATAAAAAAGCCATTAAAAACAGTCATTCCCCTAAGATGCTTAACTTTAAACCATAAGTAAATACATTATTCTTACCTACACAGTTGTGGTCTGTAAGAAAGGAACTTGGAAAAAACAAATCTCAGGCTTAAAACTCGGACAGAATCGTTTTTCTGAAGGCAGCTTCAAATGACAATTCAAGAACTCCAGTTTGGCACTTCGTACAAGATATAGTAAATTTTAAGGACACGTGTTTGAGAGTTTGAAAAATATCTCATAATATCTGATCTTTTAACAGAAAACATGCTGACACAACTTCTTTCTAAAATGCTAGAGCTGAACAAACTCGTCCCCACAGGATGACAAAACAATTTTCAGTGTCCTCTGGCAAAAACCCTTTAAACCTCTTCATCGCTTAAATGTGGAAATTTTTTAGACTTATTTACTGTCCATCTTCAAATAGCACAGGCTTCTGACTGATGCGCAGATGCATCATATTGTCATTAATAACTGACAGAGAAAAAAAAAAAAAGTTGTTTTTTTTCCCCAATGGTACAAACATACTTTATTGTACAATTAATTTATTGGCAAAAACAAAAACAATCAGACCACCGAAATAACTTAAAAGAAACTAATGAAAATGGAGCAACAGTTATTTTTGCTTTCTCTCAGCAAGCACCAAAACTGTTAACAAGAACAAAAAAGAAAAGAAGAGAGTGGTCAAAGATTCCATTTGAATACTAAACAAATATTTAAATAGTCTTACTTCCAGTCTCTTTAGGAAAAAGAAATGATAAAAACAAAACTATTTGTTCAGTTGCCATCAGTTTGTACAGTGATTCAGTATGTTTACAACTATATTCATGTACATGAAACATTTCTTCAAAACAACCAAAAAGAAAAGAAAAAAAAAAGGATGGTATAATATACTCCAAGGCCTCCCCAGGCGAACTGAAAGACTGTCTGCAGGTTCTTTTTGCATCACCATAGCATCTTTAATACAAAAACAAAGCATGTTTTATCTATTAATTCCTGTAGCTTCAAGTTTTATTTCCAAAAAATAAAATTAAATAATATATCTATTTATAAAAGACAGTTTTTCCTTGTTTTTTTTTTTCTTATAAAATAAGTCTCAAGATATATTGCCACCTGGTTTCTGATGCGTTCCCTTCCCCATACCCAGCAAGCCCGACCTTTAAGAAAAATAGTGAGCATGTGAATATTGTGTCTTCAGTCCTCTCCATAAAAAGCTAAATGACCAAATTTGAACTCTTAAGTCACACCTCTAACCGACCCCAGCTTCGGCTCATCGTCGTACAGGTTTCCTGTCTTAACTGCTGAGATTGTTTAGGTGTGTGACTCGGTTGCTATAGCCTCCCTAAAACCTTACACAGAAAAAGGCGCATTGGTGCTTGTGACCGACTACACCCCATACTGTACATTATAGAAAACAAAACAAAACAATACTGTACAGTAGCTCAGGAGCACTTTTTTTTCCAAACACATACAAGCAAATATTCAATCAAACAAGAGGAAACAACAGCAGAAAATGTCTCTGCTCATAAGATTTTAAAGTATGTACACTTATTTTACATCTTTCACTTTCATTACAAAAGAAAAAACAAACAAACAAAAAGTATCCAAGTCCACCATTTCTTAATTTGTACAGTACTAACAGTGAATTAAACCTTGTGGCTGAGAGGCAGTCGTGAGGGTGTGGGACGGGGGGAGGATAAGGATGTAAGGAAAACCGTTGGGGTTCGGGATAAAGGCGGGATTTTAGCGACCTCTTCTCCAGGTTACTGTTCATAAATGCAGCTGTAATATATGTACACACAACCTTTTTTTTTTTCTTTTTCTTTTTTTAAATCATCAGCGAGCTTCAACAGCTATAATACAGGTATATAGTACGCAGGTTGTGGAGCAGGAGAAGTTAGGATGAAGAAAGTGTGCACATTCACAGGAGAAGTGCGAAGAGGCGGCCCCATAAGGGAAAAAAAACAAAAACAAAAGATCTTACGGTTTAATTCAAATTATAGAAACCCTGACGAAGACAAACCTGGGATAGCTGTCAAAAAAATGTAAAAAATAAATCAAACTGCATTGAACACACCTTCCTAACCACCCACAAACCCAATAAATATACTTCTGAATCGCTGCAGTCACTGGAAAAAAAATCTACGTTTGTGTGTCCAGAAGAAGGGTCGGGTAACGGAAGATATGTTGATGCCTGATTAACGAATCGCCGAGGGCACGAAATAATAATAATTATAATAATATAGAAATAAAATAAACGTACTCTGCAAAATAGATACAATCATGATGGGTATTTGAGGAGAAAAAATAAAAGAATAAGAAAAAAAAAGTACATCATGTCAACTCTCATTTTTAGCAACATTTGAAATCTTAAAAATATTCATAAAAAGGCAAAAATTCTCAGTCCCCAAAAATATTGTCATATACTTAAAGAAGTAATATCTTCAACCTGAAACACTGACCTTCCACCTTTTTTGTACACAATTGGCAAAAATATATAGATATTTATTAACAGCAATAACTTACCATTGTTTTAATTTATTCAATTATTGACTTCTAAGATTGATGTTGCATCTCCCATAGGAAGGAAGCTTTCAGTTCATATTTATACATCAGAAAAATATTTAAATAAAAAATAAAAACTTCTAAAACCCCAAAGCTGCCCCGCTCTCCTTTCATGGCAGTTTGTCATTTGGGGCAACAGATCAGAGCATCACGACGGAGAGAGACAGTACAGAGTCAAGGCTACATCAGGTTGTGGTTAATGTTCGTTCCCAGCTCCTGGTTGTTGTTGTTGCTGCCGCCGCCGCTGTTGTTGTTCCCACCCAACATGTCTGATTGCCCCCCTTGTCCACCGTGCATCCCCGTCATCCCACTCAGCTGAGACATAATAGAGTTCTGGTCCGAATTGTACTGACTAGGATCTACAGAACTACCTGGCTGCTGTTGCTGGGGTTGTGGAGGTTGGGGTGGTGCCATGTTGGAGTAATGTTGACTGAGATGCCCTGGGTGGGGCGACCCACTCTGGGTCTGAGGGGAGATGCGGTGAGGTGAGGGCTGAGGCTGGGAGGAAGGCTGCATGCGTGGGGACGGGCTGGAGCGTGGAGGCTGCGACTGTGGCCTTGGTGAGGGCTGAGGGGACCGGACCTGACTGCTGAGCGATCCAGCTGGACCGAGTCCTCCTTGTCCCTGTAGGTGGTGATGGGGGGACTGGGCCATCTGCTGCTGGGGACTCATAGGACTGCTATGGTGGGCTGGAGAACCCCCTCCAAGGTGCTGCTGTTGCTGCTGCTGCAGGAGCCTCTGCTGGATATTTTGGGCAAGCATGGCTTGGGACGTCTGTGGCATTTGGGGGCCACCACCTGCACCACTCTGCGGTTGTTGCCCTGGCCCTGATCCACCTTGTCCAGGCTGGAGTGGAGGTCCTCCAGGGCCTCCACTGGGGCCTACATCTTGTCCTTGAAGACCACCCATTTGATTTTGCTGCTGCTGCTGCTGCTGCATCAGCCTGTGCTGGAGCACTGCAGCTACTTGTGACATCTGGTAGCCTTGCTGGCCTAACTGTCCTGGCCCACCTGGTGGTGGTCCTTGCTGCTGGGGAACCCCTACACCACCCCCAGGTTGGGGTTGAGAAGATGGGGGTATCCCTGGCTGTCCCTGGCCAGGCTGCATGAAGCTTTGCTGGCCTTGTTGCTGCTGGAGTCCTTGAGGCTGCTGGAACTGGCCGTGGTTCCCCATTTGTTGCTGTTGCTGTTGCTGCAGTCTTCTCAAAAACATCTCTCTGAACTGTGGTGTCATATTGGCGATGTTCCCTTGCTGACCTGGTTGCATTGCTCCCTGTGGCTGCTGCTGCTGTTGCTGCTGCTGCTGCTGCTGCTGCAAAGTGGCCATTTGCTGTT